AAGCTAAGTAGCTAACCAAAAGAGAAGGAAAAAAATAAGAAAAATAAAGGAAGAAAACGGAAAGAAAAAACAAGACAGAAAAAAAAAGCAAGGCAATGATACATAATTTATTGTTCTTCATGTCATGAGTTATATTTGCTATCCATACAAATAGTGGAAGTTGAAATACATAAAACCAAGTGAATGGGGTACTTAAATATTGAGTTTGGATTACATGGAATTCCCGTTGGAACCTATATCTTTCTTTCACTTGGCTTTATTTACTCTTTATGTACCAAATAGGAATTTTGGATTTGTTGTTCAATGTGCATTCTTTAGTTCTATTTAAATGTCGAATTTGATATTCTCATCTCATTTTAAATAGAGGAAATTTATCAAGCTGTTATTCATGAAGCCAACACAGACGAAAAGAATGGCAAAAAGAAAATACAAAGAAAAAAAAGTCAAAAAAAAAACTTAAGAAGGAAAAGAGAGAGAACTATTAGAAAAAGAGACAGGAAAAGAAGAATAGTCATGTTGGTTATGATAAATTGAATATTGATAACCTTTCTCCTCATGTAAGGCCTCGTTCGTTTTGCGGATTCGAGTTTTTAATTTGAGCTGAGATGTGACATTTTCTGAGAGCTTTTAACTGTAGTAGAAAAAGTTGGATGTGACATTTTCTAAGAGCTTTTAGCTGTAAAAACTTAAAACTGAAAACTCGAATCAGTGAAATGAACGAGGCCTAAGTGTTTATAATTTTTGTAACAATTATTTTTTGTCGTCTTTCTATGTCTAAAACATTTAGTCCGCTTTAGTCATGCTTCGATCTTTGCCAATCATTGGAAAGGGTAGGAGGGTTTTAGGAGATGTTGTCAATGAAACACCAGTCCCTTGCTAAGGATGAAATTGAGGCCAAGTTGCTTCAAGCTACTTGTGGCACTATCATAACATAACCTTAGAGCAGAATGAAAATGAGCATTTTTTCGTACATGCTTGTTACTGTGTTAGTTGCACTTCAAGAAAACAAAGGGGAATGATGTCTTTAGCTGTAACACTTCAAGTTCGATGTAGGTTTTTATTGAACTCATACAATATAACTATTTTTTTAACGTATACAATATAACTGTTCTTTAAGCACCATTTCTTTCTTTTGGTGCAGGTAAGAGGAGGATCAGCTCCTTTTATGATAAAACTTTTAGATGGACGGCAAACTCTTAAGGTTTTTCCTTTTCATTTTGTGTTTATTCTATTAATTTTTTAAATGCTGCCACGAGGTTTTTTCTTTTCATCTTGTGTTTTCCTCCTTGGTTTAACGTTTTCATCTTCATCTTCATTGGAGGAAGGTTTATTGCCATTATCATTAAGCCATTGAAAAGAGAGAGGGGAAAAAAGGGAATAGTAAGAATTAGAGGGAAAAATAAGTTAGATAAGATAGAGGGAAAAGAAAATAATGAAGAGCAACAAGAAAATAAGAGAAAACGAAAAGAAAAGGATTAATTATAAAAGTTCTCCTGAACTATACCTCTTGTAAAACTTTGTTGGTCAATCTTTAAAATGTAAAGTCCATTCACCTGAAGAGTGAAATGTTAATAAAAAAGTTCCCTCCATAAGGTTTTTTTAACGGAACTTGACATTTAATTTGTTATTTTGGGGGTATTTTTGTAGATCTATGATTTAAAATTTACTTTGAATTTAAAACTAATTTAAATTTGAACTTTAAATTATGATACATCCATATTGATTGAATGTAAGTTAAAAATTTTAATAAAAAAATTTATGTGGTTTTTCTTGTTGAGCAAAAGAACATTTCTTCCTGTGAGCATAGACTTTATGTTCTTCCAACGCCAGAAACACCAACTCCAAATGACCCAAATGCTCCTCTAATGTTTTGCAATACACCAATATATCATTAAAAAAAAAACTAGCGCAAACTTCCGTAAATAATCCTTTAAAACATCACTCATTAACACCTAAAAAGTTGCCGGAGCATTGGTTAAGCCAAATGGCATCACCAAAAAATCATACTGGCTTTCGTGTGTCCGAAAAGCAGTCTTAGGCACATCCTCTTGCTTCATGTGAATCTGATGATAGCCTAACTTATGATCCAGTTTAGAAAATATGGCTGCCCCATGAAGTTCATCAAGTAATTCCTCAATTACTGGAATTGAAAATTTGTAAGGGATAGTAGCCTTGCTTAAGGCTTTATAATCAATACAAAAACGCTAGTTACCAGGTAGCTTTTTTCTTGACTAATAAAACCGGACTAGAAAATGGGCTAGTGCTAGGCTATATAATACCTGCTGTCAACATCTCTTTGACCAAGCGCTCTATCACATTTTTCTGAAAATGAGGATAATGATAAGGCCTAACGCTTATCAGGGTCGTGCCTTCCTTGAGATTTATACCATGGTCTCTTCCTGGGCTTGGTGGTAACCCCGCCAGCATCTCAAAAACCGCCTTGTGGGAGATGGAGCAATTCTTGCACCTTTTTCTCCTCGTTGCCACTACTATCATACTTTCATCAACACTAAGACAACCCAACTCTAAATAAATCTCGTGGCCTTCTTGCTTAATAATCTTCATCGTGGACTTAAGTGAAACCCAAGATAATGAAAGGGGGCCTGTAGAGAGAATGAAAGGGAAGAGAGAGAGATACGTAAAAGCAAAATTAACAAAAATAGAAAAGAGGGGGCTTGTAGCTTCCAATGTTGCTGAGATCTTAAAATTAGATTCGTAGCTGTATTTCTTTTTTTGTTGTGAGAATACAAGTAAAGAAAAGAGAGAAAAAGAGTTGGAAATGGAAGAAGATGATGCAAAAAAGAATGAAAACTAGTGACTGTGATGATCATTGCGACCACCGATTGCGTTAGCGCCACCATTGATTCGTCCCTCCCTCTCTTGCATTCCAAAGAATGTTAGTCTCTCTTTTACACACCATCACTTTATCGATTAATTTTTCTCTATCTTCATCTTCACAACTTTTGCCCTGTCTCATGAGCTTACTGCGTTTTTTCATTTAGGGAAAGCAAGGAGTTCTTTTTCCCCTTTTCCATTGCAGGAGGAAAGCCTAGGTACATTCTATATGTACTCTAGCCGCCGTTTCACTCTTGGGTTTTCAGATTATACCCCAATCGCTATCTCGCTCTCTGCTAATTGCGGAACAAAAAAAATTGGTATTTGATCTCGACTTTTTCATTCCCTCTTTTAGTGATTTGATTTCTTACAATTCTAATTTTTTTTACTAAGATTTTTGTCTATGGGAAACTTACATTGTTTTTCTTCATCTGTGGACCTCTTTTTAGTTCTCATGAGTCATGGTGGTTTTATCTGACCATGTTTCATAATTTTAAGAAATTAGAATATTTTTGGATCGACTGTGATGGTTTTTAGTGAGATGTTTTTGGCTTGATATGTTATATGGGTTAAGCTAGCTGACTGTATCTTATTTCTTTTGGTTAGATGAAACATTGTTCATAGCCTACAAGTCGATGGTATTAGATGGACATGAACATAAAGATGCTTGCTTAGTGCCTCCTTCCTCTATTCTTCTTCTGCTTTTTGACTTTTTTATTGCTGTGTTTTGGGTCTATTATTTTGATTGCTGAGAAGTGGACTATATTTTTATTCGACTTATTTTATATTGTTCAATTCAGGGTTCTTATTTTTTATGTTATTTCTGGATTCTCATATAGTAGGTGAACAAACAATTCAAAGTTTAACTTATCTAAATTGTGATTTTTTTCCTGCTCCAGTAGTGGTTTTTGATAAAAAGAAACCTACTGAACAAGGTACCCTTTTCATTCCCACTTATTCTTTGTTTGTTGAATTCCACTCATGTTTATGTTATATATTGTATTTGCTGCATTTTGATAAATTTTTAATGATGTTCATGCTTTTAGGGACCTAAAAATTGTTGATTTTAACAATTCTCTTTTGTCTTTGATATAATTGAACCATTTGTCTATCAATATTTAGTTTAGTTCTAAATGGTAGCACTCTTTGAAAGTGCATAGGTGCAGCTCTTCCAAAAGTGTATTTATCCACGTTCATATAAGGGTGAACAGCTTCCTCGGGATCTATTTCGCCCAATTCGTGCAAATATTTTTGTCTCCGTATTCTTTCATATTTCATGCCATACATTTTAACATTTGGTGTTGTTTTCACGTGTGTACGTGGTAGTCTTCTTACTTTATCATGTTTTTCTTTCTTTGCATTCTTGCTCCTTTCATTGTCTTTTTGTCTACGTTGTTGCTTGTAAGATTTTGTCACTTCTTGATTTCTCTTTGTTCATTAATGCATCCCAAAACTTGAGAACTTTTCTACCTCTCCATTTCTCTTTTTTTTTTTTTGCGGTTCTTCCGTGTTCGTTTGCATTTTATTCCTCTCCACTCGATTTGCTCTTCCTGCTGCTGCATTGTTTTTTCACGAGGTTCATGGATTCTGTCGCAGCATTTCTTGCTCAGCCTTCAAGGTTTGTTCTGTCTTTTCTCTTCTTATGCTTTTTATTTCGGTGATTTTTGTTTGTTCTAGTTTTAAAATATTGCTTCAGTTTAGTTTTTGATTGTATTTATCATTTTACCCTGTTATTGGATTATGTTGCTTGTATACTTATCTTTGTCTAATTTATTTGAATAAAGATTGTGATAGGTACTTGAATTGATTTAGAGCCAGAAACACTTAGAATAGAGAAAGAAAGAAAGAAGAGAAAGAAAATGAATCTTTTTATTGAATCTGAACCAGCCTTAAGGCATGTACAATTTTCCTTAGGTAGCTGAACTTCGAGAGCCAGCCAATCTCCCTTGGTTGGTTGATCCAAGAATTCTTCCAGAATAAAACTCTCCCCCCTTTCTCTTTCCTTCCACTACCTATTTATATTTTTTTGTCTTTATTCCCAACTGCCTACGTGTACAATCATAACATCCATTCTGCCTACACGTGTACAATCATAACACCAACTCATCTTTTTCTCACATAAGTATAGCGAATTGCAGGCCTATCAATACTCCCCCCTTGAAAAATCACCTTGTCCTCAAGGTGAAATGGGTGAGGATTCCATCAAACGATGCCCACATCGCTTCAAAGTCCGGCAGATTCTTCCGTATGATCAAATCCTCAGGTCGTTGTGGATCACCATGCACCGAAGGACGCATGTCCAAGACACATTCTGGCTCCACCTGCCATTGTAAATCAGGGCCTAATTGAGGAGGAAGTTGCTGACAAACTAATGATGCTCCAATTGCACGACGAAGTTGTGATACGTGGAAAATGAGATGAATTGTAGCCGAAGGTGCTAAGTTCAGGCGATACGCCACTGTGTCCACCCGCTGCAGCACTTCGAAGGGGACAAAATATCGAGGAGAGAGTTTCTCATTCACAAACTTAGCAAGAGACTTATTGCGATAGGACCGAAGTTTTAAGTATACCAAATCACCCACTTGAAAATTCACATCCCTTCTTTTTCCATTAGCTGACAATTTCATAGCTTGTTGAGCTTCGAACAGATGCATTTTGAGTTGATCCACCACCTCATTACGAGTTTTAAGTTGCTGCTCCACCATGTAATTGGTTGTAGACCCCGTGGTATAGCGAATGAGGGGTAGAGGATCCCGCCTGTAAAGAATCCGAAAAGGGGTCATTTTGGCAGCAACATGGAAAGCTATATTATACCAAATTTCAGCCCATGGTAGCCACTAAACCCATTGTTTGGGTTTGTCACCAGCAAAACACCTTGAGTAAGTTTCCACACAACGATTCACAACCTCGGTTTGCCCATTCGATTGAGGGTGATGAGCCGTACTTTACAACAACTTCGTACCTTGCAAGCGAAATAATTCCTCTAAAAAATGGCTGAGGAAAATCTTATCTTGGTCTGATATAATCGACCTAGGGAACCCATGTAATGACCTCACGAACAAACACTCCTGCTACAGACTTGGCAGTAAAAGGATGCTTGAGAGCAATAAAATGGGGATATTTACTAAGCCTATCAACAACCACCAAAATCAAACTAAAACCATTTGAAGTGGGTAATCCTTCCACGAAGTCCATAGTAACATCATTCCATACCTGCTTCGGAATTGGAAGTGGTTGGTGGAGATCTGCTGGCGACAAAGTCAAAGATTTATTCCCTCACAAGAAGCCACAAAAGTCTGAACATCCATTTTCATTCCCTTCCAATATAATTCCGCAGCCAATCGTTTATAGGTTTTCAAAGCACCGGAATGAACGCCCACATTACTCCTCAACGTCAACGACATGTGGAATAGAGAAAGGTGACAAATCCACACTATGAACCACACTGGATAAAGCATCAGCCGCCTTATTATTAAGGTCGGGCTCATATTCAATATCAAATTCATAGCTTAACAGCTTAGACAGCCACTGTTGATGTTCCGGTTTGAACCAAAAATAAGTTTTGAAATTCAAAAACTTGAGATTCAAGAGAGGTTCTTTCAGTAATCTTACCTCGAATCATTCTCTTGACGTTGAAAATGCTTTGGAACTCTCCTTTGGTTCAAGATCCGTTTGATTTGGGACAAAATGAGAGAGAGAGAGAGAGCACGGGAGTGAAGAGAGAGAGAGAGAGCACGGGAGTGAAGAGAGAGAGAGAGAGTGTGTGAATGCACGGGAAGGAAGGAAAAGGAAAGGAAAAAAGGAAAGGGAAAAGAAAAGAAAAAAAAGAAAAGAAATAAAAGACAGGTGTCAATAAATTTAAAGTATTTGTCCAGAAATATGCCCATACACACTTCTGGGTAAACATGTAAATACTAAGAATATTTAAATATCTTAGAACTGTTTAAACTCACACGTGTCAGAAACATTTATTAATTAAAACTCAATTAATTAAATCAGATTAGGCACACTAATAATCTCAATTACCTTTATTAATTTCAATTTATTCTTCAGGGTGTTACAAGATACTCCAATTGTTGTTGAGCAAAAGAACATTTCTTCCTGTGAGCATAGAGTTTTTGTTCTTCCAACGCCAGAAACACCAACTCCAAATGACCCAAATGCTCCTCTAATGTTTTGCTATACACCAATATATCATTAAAAAAAACCAACTCAAACTTCCGCAAATAATCTTTTAAAACATCACTCATTAAGGCCTAAAAAGTTGTTGGAGCATTGGTTAAGCCAAATGGCATCACCAAAAAATCATAATGGCCTTCGTGCGTCCGAAAAGCTATCAAAAAGCGGTCTTAGGCACGTCCTCTTGCTTCATGTGAATCTGATGATAGCCTGACTTATGATCCAGTTTAGAAAATATGGCTGCCCCATGAAGTTCATCAAGTAATTCCTCAATTACTCGAATCAGAAATTTGTCAGGTATAGTAGCCTTGTTTAAGTCTCTATAATCAATACAAAAACGCTAGTTACCAGGTAGCTTTTATCTTGACTAATCAATTAAATCTTTAAATTCCTTTAATTAATTTGCACTTAATTTCTTAATGGGTTAAAAATTGCTCAAATGCCCAAAATTTCTAAAATTAGGTTTACAAATAAACCCAAAATTGCCAAAATTGACAATTTTTCCTCCCCTATGGCCGCAGGTATATACCTGCGGCCTTTCACTAAACCACAGGCCCAATAGGGCATGTGTTTGCTTCTTATGTCACGGGCCCCAAATGGGCCTGTGTTATTATTATTATTATTATTTAGTTGTTTTCGCAGCTCTGTGCCGAAGCCCAGAGCTGCTTCAACCCTAGGGTCGCGACATACTGTTGAGACCCTTGACCAGATGTGGTGGCCGGCAGGCCGCCACTACGTGTAGTCGCGGTGGTACACCGCAGCTGTCCATGACAAAAAAAACTTTTTTTAACTTTACTTATGCGGCGGCCTTGGCCGCCGCTGTTCTTCATCCCATCGCGGCATAGCTCGTCGGCGCGGCCCAATGGCCGCGCCCTAGTTTCCTCAGCGCCAACAGCCAAGGCTGTCGCCGGCCACAATCTTTAATCCCAAAAAAAAAAATTTTCAGCAAACCTTTTTTAAAAAAAAAATTTCTTTACCAAATTTCCTTAATTCCTTATTTTCTAGAAAATCAAATTTTGTGAATAACAATTAATCCGAAAATTATTCAACAAATTTTGATCAATATCAATCACCAAAAAAATTCATATGATTATTAATATGCATGCTTTTCTCAACAAAATAAAGCATGTTAAAAATTCCATAAATAAAGAAAAATCATATGAATCAATCAACATAATATTCAAACGGAGATATTGGAGATGAAAATTCTCTCAATTATTTAATGTTGTCGAGAGGTATTTTAGGCAGTAAATAAATTAGGAAAATTAGTTTTAACAATTCCTGATTTTCAGGGATTGTGGTAGATATCCTTTCTTATTTTCTCTCTATGTAAACTCTATAAATATTTAGCCATGTAATTATTCAATATATGAAAAATATACAGATAATTTTTTCATCCCTAGTTTGCGTCATGGTATTAGAGCCCTAGGGCGACTCTCTGGGATTTCATGCCTCCAAGCAGCCTTTATTGCTGCCGTTCATCCATGCCGCCAAGCAGCCTTCATTGCTGTCGGTCATCACAGCATCATTCTATATTCTATTTTTTTTCCTCCTCTCTTTGAAATCTACTTTTCTTCCCCTTCATTCAATCATGTCCGATTCTGAACCCAAGGCCACCAGCCCTTTCTTGACTACTGAGGATGTTTCTCCTGCCCAGAAATCCGGAGACTTGCAGAATATTAGAGCCTCTTATCGACTCAATGGGAGAAACTATCTCAAGTGGTCACAAGTCGTTCGCACGTACCTCAAAGGAAAGGAAAAAAATAGCCACCTGCTTGGGACTGGACCAGCAACAACAGACCCTGGATTTGTGGCATGGGATGAGGAGGATTTAATGATTATGTCATGGCTGTGGGATTCAATGGAACCAATCGTTAGTGATACTTGTATGTTTCTGACTAGTGCGAAGAGGATATGGGATTACATTCAACGTACCTATTCAAAGGCACGTGATGCAGCCCAGGTATATGAGATAAAGATTAAGACAAATGGCATGAAGCCAGAGTATGCCAATTTTCTGCAGATCATGTGGCAGGAATTGGATCACTATCGAGTGTTCGAGATGAAATGCCCGGAGGATGCATCAATTCTCAAGAAATATATTGAAGGTGACAGAGTGTGACTTCTTGGCTGGTTTGAATTCCGAATTTGATCAAGTTCGGTTACAAATACTCAGTAAGGAGGAGGTTCCTTCACTGGAAGAGACCATCTCAATTATTCGTGGAGAGGAGAGCCGAAGGAATGTGATGCTAGAAAAACCGAGTGGTATGGAAGGATCTGCTCTGGCAGGAGAAGAATAAGGATGACCAGCCAAGGAATTCAGGAAGGGAGAACCAGAGAAGGGAAAATCGAGATACTTTGTGGTGCACCTACTGCAAGAAGCCGAGGCATACCGAGGAAAATTGCTGGAAGTTGAATGGCAAACCTCCAAGCAGTGAGTGGGGAACACGTGGAAGACAACAAAGGCCCCAAGCTCATCTCACAAAGCAATCAAAGGCTGAAGAAGGACCGGACAACAAGGGATTCAAGGGAGATGAGATAGGGTTCAAAAGGGATGAGATTGAAAAATTACGGAGTCTATTGAGTTCTCTTGAAAAACCATCCGGAGCTAGTTCCTTAGTTCTCTCAGGTAAACCAGTGATTTCTTATGGATTGCACGCTTCTGACAAGTTTTTTGATGATTCTTGGATATTAGATTCCGTAGCCACGGACCACATGACACATTCCTCTAATTTTTTCCGTACATATACTCCTTGTCCGAGTAATAGGAAGATTATTGTTGCAAATGGAGAATTAGCTACAGTGGCAGGTTTAGGAGACGTTTATATTAATCCTTCCGTGGTCCTTAAAAATGTCTTGCATGTGCCGAAGTTATCAACTAATCTTATTTCTATTCAAAAACTTACAATTGATCTTAAGTGTTGTGCAATATTTTTCTTGTCTCATTGTGTTCTTCAGGATCAAGCCTTGGGGAGGAAGATTGGACTTGCTAAGGAAAGAAATGGTCTCTACCACCTGGAAATTTCAAAGAAAACCGTCAGTAACCTGCATGTGTCTCTTCTCAGTTCTTCCAATAAATATGCCATTTGGCTTCATCATTATCGTCTTGGTCACCCGTCCTTTAGAGTCCTAGAAATTATGTTTCCACATTTGTTCATAGGATTTGATATTTCTGAGTTTCATTGCGATGTTTGTGAACTAGCAAAACATACTCGTGTTCCTTTACCTATCAGTAATAAAAGAAGTGTTTTTCCTTTTCAATTGATCCATAGTGATATTTGGGGTCCATCTACTATTCCTAATGTATCAGGGGCTCGTTGGTTTGTCTCATTAATTGATGATTGCACGCGTGTAACCTGGCTGTTTTTACTTAAACAAAAATATGATGTCAGTAATATTATTCCCAGCTTCCATTCTATGATTCAAAACCAATTTGGGGTAAAAATAAAAACCTTTAGGTCAGACAATGCTAAGGATTATTTTAACCAGGTTTTATCACCCTATTTTCAAAAAGAAGGAATTATTCACACTTCTTCTTGTATGGATACACCCCAACAAAATGGGATAGCTGAGAGGAAAAATGGGCACCTATTAAATGTCACTAGAGCCTTGTTGTTTCATGGGAACACGCCTAAATCCTACTGGGGGGAAGCCGTCTTAACAGCCACACACATGATAAATAGACTACCCTCACGTGTACTTGTCAACAAGAGTCCTATGGAAATTCTTAATGCCCACTACCCTCACTTTAGAACCTCAAATGGCCTTATACCTAGGATATTTGGATGCACAGCCTTTGTACACGTCCACCGCCCAAACAGAGGGAAGTTAGACCCCTGTGCAATCAAATGTATTTTTGTTGGCTATTCATCCACACAAAAGGGGTACAAGTGCTATCAGCCTCCATCAAGAAAATTCTATATCTCAGCTGATGTTACCTTCTTCGAAAACAAATCTTATTTCCCTAAGTCCCATCTTCAGGGGGAGACAACTAATCTTGAAGATGGTACTTGGTCTGAGTCGTTTGAGTCTTTTGAACCACTTGATCTTCCGTCTACTTCTCATTCTCCTTTAGTCATCACTTCGGTCATCCCACAAGGTCCTGCCCAAGAGCCCGAGTCTTCCAACACAGAAACCGATCCTACTTGTCAACCCCAAGAGTCTGTCAGTTCTGAAAATCCGAAAGAGGTTACTGATGTTCATCCAAGGTTTTCTCAGGTGTATACAAGAAGGGCAAAAGCCCCAAACCTGACACAAGTCCAAGAGACCAACCCGAGTCCCGAGAATGAGGCCATGGTGAGTACAGATTCACTCCTAGACACTGAGACAGTTGAAGCTTTAGCCGATGACTCTCATTTGCCCATTGCCATCAGGAAAAAATCCTGAGAATGCTCTAAGAGGCCACTATATCCTCTTTCCCATTATGTCTCACCTAAACGCCTGTCACCATCCAACTAGAGGTTTATAGCTAGCCTAAACACAATCTCCATACCAAATACACTTTCTGAGGCATTATTGAAGGAGGAGTGGAGGAATGCTATGAGAGAGGAATTAGAGGCTCTGGAAAAGAATCAAACATGGGAGATAGTGGAGAGACCAAAAGGAAAGAACATAGTTGATTGCAAATGGGTATTTGCATAAGTATAAGGCTGATGGATCTCTCGAGAGATATAAACCAAGGTTAGTTGCGAAAGGGTACACTCAGACTTATGGGGTGGATTATCATGAGACATTCGCTCCGGTGGCAAAAATGAATACCGTGAGGATTTTGGTGTCGTTAGCAACCCATTTTGACTGGCCATTGCTACAATATGTTGTGAAAAATGCCTTCCTCCATGGAGACTTGGATGAGGAGATATATATGAGCATCCCGCCAGGATTTGAGGGGAATAAAACCAGTGACAAAGTCTGCAAGCTTAAAAAGGCTCTATATGGGCTAAAACAGTCCCCTACAGCATGATTTGGCAGATTTGCTAAGGTAATGAAAGATTTGGGTTATAGGCAAAGTCAAGGTGATCACACGTTGTTCTTCAAACATTCGGCCTCAGGGGGAGTGACTGCCTTGCTTGTGTATGTTGATGATATCATCGTAACGGGGAATGATGAGAAGGAGAAAGATGACTTGAAGAGAAGACTGATTCAGGAATTTGAGATAAAAGAACTTGGGAGATTGAAGTATTTTCTTGGGATTGAGGTGGCATACTCTAGACAAGACATCTTTGTATCCCAATGGAAGTATGTGACTGATCTTTTAATAGAAACTGGAAAGGCTGATTGTAAACCGGCTGCCACTCCTATGGACTCAAACCAGAAATTAAGTGAAGGAAGAGAGGAACCACCAGTGGACAAGGGAATGTATCAAAGGCCAGTTGGGAGACTCATATATCTCACACACACTCGGCCTGATATAGCTTACTCAGTGAGTGTGATCAGCCAATTTATGCACGATCCGAGGGAGCCTCACCTTCAAGCTGCACATAGAATACTGCACTACTTGAAGGGCAGTCCCGAAAAAGGGATCTTGTTCAAAAGGAACTCTGTTTTGACGTTAGAAGCATATACAGATGCAGATTATGCAGGTTCTATAGTGGATAGAAGATCAACAATTGGCTATTGTACATTTCTTGGTGGTAATCTGATAACATGGAGGAGCAAAAAGTAGAATGTTGTGGCTAGATCATTTGCAAAAGCTGAATTTCGGGCTGTTGCTCAAGGGATGTGTGAACTACTTTGGCTGAAAATTATTCTAGATGATTTGAGAGTCAAGTGGGAGGAACCTATGAAGTTCTACTGCGACAACAAGTCAGCAATCAACATCGCTCACAATCCTATTCAACATGATAGGACAAAACATATTGAGATTGATAGACACTTCATCAAAGAGAAGTTGGAAGAATGACTCATATGTATGTCCTATGTTCCTTCGGGAGCTCAACTGGCTGACGTTTTAACAAAAGGATTAAATGGTTCTAATTTTCATGAGATTGTAGCCAAGTTGGGAATGGAAGATATTCATTCCTCAGCTTGAGGGGGAGTGTCGAAAGGTATTTTAGGCAGTAAATAAATTAGGAAAATTAGTTTTAACAATTCCTGATTTTCAGGGATTGTGGTAGATATCCTTTCCTATTTTCTCTCTATGTAAAGTCTATAAATACTTAGCCATGTAATTATTCAATATATGAAAAATATACAGATAATTTTTCCATCCCTAGTTTGCGTCAAATGTGATGATTGCTCTGATACCACTTGTTGGTCTTTAATCCTTATACCACATTCAGGAATCATCAACCAAATTACTAAGAAAATAGGTTAGAACAAATACATGTCTCCATTGGTGTAGCCTTAATCTCCAGCAGCAATCTCTAAGACAACGAGTACGTCAAGTTATTGTCTTCCTCTTTCAAATCACCAAATTCTTGAATGAGGTGTTCTCTCTCTAGATGGGGAAAAGAGAAAACGGTCAAATGATTTGACATATTGAGGATCATAACCTAAGTTTCTTTATATATTGTCCCATTAGGCTCCCATTATACCTAATTAGGTCAATATTAGGTATCCACCCATTTAGCCCATACTCAGTTAGGAGACTATTTGGGCTCTCCACAATTAGACTACTTAATTAGCCCAATTAATTAAGTAACGTCAATATGATTGTTATAAATATGTGGCTCACAATCACCTTTTCTTCTTTACTTTCTATATAATATATGCAATGATGGAGATGGAGTACTTGGGATCAGCAGAATTCTAAAACTACGGAACCAACTGGTTTCACACCGGGGGAACAACATCCGGAGCAACGACCCCAACCGTTTGGAAGATATCTTGAGAAAAGGTTTTAGCACCGGTGTATCCTATATGTACTCTAGTTTATTCGAAGTATCCCAATGGTGTAACGCCGTCGACTTATTGGGAAAAAGGAGGAAAAGAACTTGGATCCGATGGTTCCCAACCCCTTTTCTCAAAAATCCCATTTCCTTCCATGATATTATATGGGAAATTTTTTTGTAGTATCCGTTGAGTCATTCGCAGAAGCAGCTCTTTCAAAAGCACCCAAATCTGATGAAGGAACTGTGGAATCCGCGGTTTCTTTCATTCGCTGAAAAACAACGCACCGAAAAAAAAAAATCCTATGGATCATAGCACAGGCATCATCCTAAGAAGCTCCGCCTAGGGCTGCTCTTTCCTTCTCAATCTGAATCGGCTGAAGAGTCATTTTTCCCTGAAGCCGAGACCGAACTAACATATCTAATTTATCCCGAAACAACGGATTCCAAACCCTCAGGAGCCCGAAGTAACTCATCGTCATCAGCCCCAAGTAACGAATCCGAATGCCTATCTCCAGCCAAATTCATTTCATAAGACTTATCGAAAGTTTTTTTCTTATCACAAGCCTTGTGATATAGATGAAACACGTACAAATGAACATCTTTGAGAAAGGAATCCCAATGTTAAATTTGAATAATTAATAATTCATTTTATTACCCGTACTGTACTGAAACTTACAAAGTCTTTTTTTTTGAAGATCCAAGAAATTCCACCAGGAGGAAATGTAATTCCCTAACAGTCATGCTCAAAATCATTGCTTTGATGCCAAAATTGATAGGTACTAGAACTGATTTAGAGCCAGAAACACTTAGAATAGAGAAAGAAAGTGATAAGCCTTTACTCAGGCAAGTGTACATTAGGAAGAGCAAAGACTTAGGAAGGGGCAGGGCTTGATCGTGGGAGAGTTATTTTAGCCTTAAGTGGGAACTCTTAGTGTTAGTAGTAGGTTTTCTGGTTAGCTGGCAGGGGAAAAGGAAAGGAAGGAAATTGTATAAAAGAGGAGGTAAGCCGAATGGAGAGCGGGGGGAGAAATAATCTGGAAGTAGAAAAGTCTTGGAATCATTCCAAGCAAGGGGAGGAAGCAGACCCTCGAAGTTCTGCCTATCTTTGTATAGAATTTGTCCGTCAATAAAGTTCCTTCGTTAATTCATCTTTGATTCTTTTGATTCTTGAATTTACTCTTTCGTGAACTTGTTCCCAAACACCAATGCCTTATCATTTGGTATCAGAGCAGAATTATTTTTTTTTCTGGGAAGTGAATGGCGGCCAGGAAAATTGAAGAGAAGTTCGACGCCATGGAAAAGGAGATCCAGCAGGTTAGGGCTTCGGTGGAGAAGGAAATCGGTGAGGTAAGGACCGAAATTAACCAAAACGTGGCAGAAGTGAGTCAGAACGTGTCGGAATTGCGACGACTGGTGGAGGAGCAGATGCGACTGCTAATCGCGACGGCGACGGTCGTTCCACCGGCGGAGGATTCACGATCGGGAGCCGCAAGGATTCGGGAGGATGAAATCGGGGTGGCCCAGGGCGAAAATCGCGAAATCACAGGTCGAGTTGAGGAGGACGGAGAAATCGCGCGTGCTAGGGCTCGGGAGGCGAACGGAATCCGACCGGACTTCCACCGCGACGGTCGTAATGGTCGACCCAGGGATGGCGAGACCGGCGATGGAGACAGAAATCTCCGGGAAGGACGGCGCGGCGATTATCGCACCGGAGGACCCACCGACGACGGCCGGAACTGGCGCAGAGGTCGAGATTTTGAAGGTGGGGGAGGAAATCGGGCCGGAAATGGTGGACCCAGGCTGAGGATGGATGGTCGGCATGAGGCTG